AGGTATCTACCTGCCTCTGCCAGAATTAAAGGCGTGTGCCACCATTGCCTGGCTGACATTTCACTTCTTACTCCCCCTGCTTTACTAGGTTTTCTTGGAAATGTCTGGTTGATCACTTTTTTAAGGGCTGGAGAGATGGCTTAGCAGTTAAGAGCACTGGCTGCTCTTCCAGAGGACCCAGGTTCAATTCCCAGCACCCACATGGCAGCTCACACCTGTCTGTAACTCCAATTTCAGGGGATCTGGCATCTTTACAGACATACATGCAGGCAGAACAACAATGCACATAAAATAAAAATAAATCTTAAAAAAAACCCAACTTTTTACTTGGGGCTGGAGAGATAAGACTCAGCAGTTAAGCTGTCAACTACTGTTCTTCCAGGGGAGTGGGGTTCAATTCCCAGCACCCACATGGTGGTTCACAACTGTCTATGACTCACTTCAAGTTACGGGGATCCAACTCTTGCATAGACATATATGCAGGCAAAAAATGTACACAATGCACATACAATAAAATATATATATATATATACAATACTATTCTCTCTGGGAAGAGAAAGAAACTTCTGGCCCAAATTACACACTCCAGCTTTAGCCCAGGGCTCTGCACAACATGATGTGTAAACCACATCTTCTAACCACTGGTTGCTTCCTTAAAATGGTAAGATCTACTATATAACTTGGGTCTAGGCTGTACTTTTATCTTGGTGATTGCGCCTGTATCCTAGTAACTTTCTTCTTTTTTGGATAGCTTCTGGCTGTATAGCCTAGGTTGACCTCCGGCTTTAGGCTTACGGGAATTGGTATTACAGGCATGCTCCACCATGTCTGGATGCCAGTGACTTTATCCATGTCCCACAGTCTTCACTTTCATTCTTCTGTTAACTTACTTCCTTTGTTCCTACCCCACAATTATTCCCAATAAACATTTTTATTATTTTATGTATACTAATGTTTTGCCTGCATGCATGTATGTATGTACATCACGTGCATTCCTGGTGTTCTCAGAGATGAGAAGAGGGCATCAGATCCTCTCAGACTGGGACAGATAGCTGTGAGTCCACATGTGGGTGCTGGGAATTGATCCTGCCTTGTCTTCAAGAGCAACTCGTGCTCTTAATCATGGAGAACTCTCCGGGCCCAGCATCATTCCAGGAGATTCCAGTTTCTTACCTCTGGCCCAAGCTCCTTCATCTGATGTTATTCTACATAGTCCTGATCAATTCAGCCAGAAGCAGCGCAGTAAGAGGGAGAGTGGACAATTTATACTAAGGCTCACTGGGAACAGCATGTTCTCTCCAAAGATAACAGCTGGCCCCAACTATAGACACAGCAGTTGCATAATTAACCAAGAGTAAAATACAATTTTAGAATCCAACATTATAATTTTTTTGATCTCATATCACTTTATTCTGGCAGAGAGCTTATGTTTGGACAACAACACTTCAAAAAAATTTGTAATTAGTAAATTACGTGCATGTGTGCATTTCTGTGTGTGGATACTGTGCATGTGAATGAGATTGAAGGCTAGAGGTGTTGGGCCCCCTGGAGCTGCTGTCCTGGGCTGGGTCTTCTGGAAGAGCAGTATATGCTCTGAACTGCTGCAATATCTCTCCAGCTTTAGACAAAGGCATTTCTGACTCCAGATTGTGGTGGATTTTATGACTGCAGTGACCTGTCTAACCCAACTATGCTCTTCTACCTAAGTTCTCACTGTCTTTCGTGACAGCAAACACATGTACTCACTGTTTCAGGCATTTTATTTTTCTTATTCTAACATTAGGCTTTCACAAGTGTAAAAAAGGTTCACAAGTACAAAAGATTCTGAATAGCTTTGTGGTATTCAAAACGATCCATTAAAACAAATTCAGTTGGGTGATATTCATCTCTATTTCTTGAAGTATGGCTGTAAAATGGTAAAAACAGTCTCACTGTGATTATGGTAAAGTTTTGAGGATGCCTCCCATGTGTCTCAGGAAACCTGCCTTGCACACCCATACTGCAGACCCTGCACGCGAACTCTGCTATTGCCCCTCCTCTGACAGCTCCTTTCCACACCAGCTTTTCTGTCTGTCCAGAGAAAGACTCCAACAGCTTCTGGATTTGGATTTTCATTGATTTCCAGTGGTAAAAAAAAAAAAAAAAAAAAAAAAAAAAAAAAAAAAAAAAAAAAAAAAAAAAAAAAAAAAAAATGCTAAAAAGGTGATGATTTTATTAGTAATAAATAATCTCTCTTCTAATGAGCTTTTAAGTCCTCAAACATGGCAGATGAATATTTAAAGAGCTTGTAATTTTTTCAAAGTATTTAAAAAAGGTTTTCTTAAAATGACAGGTTTCCTACCTCAAGTAGAATTGCTATAGGAACTGAAACCCAGGTTTACCTTCCTACCTAGTAAGCAGACTGTGAACACAGATCAGAGCTCTCTGTGGCCTCCGCTCAGCAACTCTAGGTATGGCCGAAATTAAGCAATCAAAACCCAAAACCTCCCTTCATTTAACAGTTAATAGAACGCTGCCAGAATGGTGTAACGTGAAGACCAGGTCAGAAACTGCCTCACAGCTTCGTTTTTTTCTTCCTTTGCTTAATAAGAAATAAATTATCATTGCTGTCATCTTCCGAGCACTTCCTTTTCTTGGGCTTGCTGCGCTTGCTCTCCCTGAGGAGCCTCTCTTCTCTCAGCCTGTGGTAATGGGAGGAATGGTGATGGAACCTGGATGGCTTCTGGTTTGCAACCCTGCCAGAGGCCTGGGGTTTGGAGCCCCTAGGGAAGTCTTCATCCACATCAGCACGCCAGCGAGCCCGCCTGTGCTTCTCACCTTTTCTCTCTCTGCTCATTTCTCTGTGGGTTTCTTTACTTTCTCGAGGCCACCTGCTGCTCTTCCTTGAGGAATGGCTTTTTCTCACATCATGGTGGCCCCTCTTATCTGTCTCTTCAATGTGTGGTCTTTTGAACTGCCTTGGAAAATCTCCGTTTTTCTGGATTTCTGGAAGACATAAAAATATTTTGCCTCTTTAGTCCATGCAGATTTCTTGTATTCTTAGATATAACTCAGCAGACATTTAGAAATGTGACCAGTAGGACATTCTAAAGAGCCTTTATAATTCTATTGCTAAAATGGGGAAATAGCCTCAAATCCTTTAGTATTTATGTAACTTATTCTATTCAACATATTTTTATAATGCCAAACAATGGAGACTAGAGCAGAAGGCATGGTCTTTATCTCATCCCTGTGAAAAATAGCCCCGTCTGACCGGCTCAAGTTCCTCCAGTGATGAAGGGTTAGTCTGAGAGGATACTGTGAAGCAAGATACAGAAAATGGCCGCTGGACGGTCTCACATGACTGTACCCTTGGGGGTAGCCCAAAACCTCCCTTCATTTAACAGTTAATAGAACGCTGCCAGAATGGTGTAACGTGAGAGGCGCCACACTGCCCAAGCCATTATTCCTCCAGAGAAGTGGATGCATGTGCTCCTGGACACACCTCAGAGGTCTCAGTGCCAGATGACACTGCCTCTTGTTAGGACCTGATGTACTGATCATGAGCATCTGATGGAAATGCTTGTGACAGCAGGGAGTGGTGGTTGAGGCCAAAGTGAGATGTATACAAGTGATTAGTAAAAACTTTCAGCTTAATTAAGCATAAAACAAGACATTCCAAGGATCATAGTGGGCCTTAAAGTGGGTAAATACCTTAAAGTGAGTTGCAAAAACTAGCCAAAAAGAAAAAAAATAATTTTATCAGATTATAATGTATAAATGCTCATTGTAGAAAACCCGAAAAAACATAAATTATAAAGAAAATACATCAGCCAGGTAGTGGTGGCGCACGCCTTTAATCCCAGCACTCGGGAGGCAGAGGCCGATGGATATCTGTGAGTTCGAGACCAGCCTGGTCTACAGAGTGAGTTCCAGGACACCCTCCAAAGCCACAGAGAAGCCTTGTCTCAATGCTCCCCCATCCCCCAAATGTTTTCTGTGCTAGCCAATGACCTGTAAAATAGGCAAAGACAGTATATAAAAAAAATAAATCAGGGAGCTACTGCAAAAGTGATCTAATCAGAAGTTTAATGACAAACCTTTCACTTTTCGCTTTATTCTCTGATCTCGCTGCTGGATCTCATATTTGTCATCATAGTAGTAGATGAACGGAGATGTTGGAAACGTCTGGTTAAACATTCGCCTTTCTGTACATTCCTACAATTGGATTTGAAAGAATGACATCACAAGGCTGCACTGTTCAACAAACCTTTCCATGAATTCTTGGGCTACGCTGATAGCGATAGTGCTGAATCCCACACAACTAGCACCACATACAGAGGCTGCTGTAAGTCTTTTGGACCACCCAGCCCGACAGTCCTACTATGCTTCTATGCTATTCCTGCAGGCCTGGGTTTCTTTCCTTCTTCACTAAGGAACCTTTTTCTCTTTTGTACTCCCTGCTAAGCTCCTCTCCTCACCCCCCAGTTGAGTTAACAGCCCTGAGGGGTGGGTGCCACTTTGTCTTATCCTCTGCTGGAGTTCCTTGGCATTAGGCAAATTATCTGCTCTTTCTTGTCTGTTTCCTCCAGTAGCCTTCCTATCAAATGTTTCTTCCTTTTCTTCTTCCTAGCCTCAAGCTGTGGCTGTAAACTGTTAGCTTTGTTCTCTCTCGAGACACATTTGCCAGCTTATTTAACTCAACACTCACTAGTTACTAGGGCAGTGAATCTTTTTCTTTAACTAAAAATTTCTCATGGGTGTATACTGTATACTGAGCATGTTCTTTGCTCTCTTCTGCCCTGCTGCCTTTTTCCTCTTGCTCCTCCCCTCTACCAACTCCCATCTGTTCCCCTTTGTCCCTGGGCTAAGGGGGTCTTATGTGAGGTGGGTGATGAGCTGTATCGACTTAGAAAAATGTTCCTGGGTAATTCTAGGAAGCCTCTTTTCTTTACTCCCTCAACCAAGTTGAGATTGTCCTTTTTACTCATTTGTCCCATGGCTGGTTTTCCAGATCTGCTGCCCAATCTCTTTCTTTTAGCTTTAACTGTTCCTCTATATACTAGTTGACACAAATGGACACAGCATGACAAGAGGGACACTCTCTTTCAGAGAGGCTTTCCTTTGGGACCTCCTCCTCTGTCTTCAAATCTTGCCTGAAGTTTATTTACAAATGTTAGCAGTTCTTGGCCTAGTACTAAAAAAAATATCAGAATGCCTTAAACAGCATGTGAAATACCCACCCAGAATTCAGCTGGTTCACCATATAAATCAATAAGAGTATCAATTTACTGTTACACCAAAAGTCCTAGTAATCTGGATACTCTCAGTACCCATGCCAACAGACCCTTTAATTCTCCCATCCCCCACCTTTGCATATCCTCCTGGAACAGCCTCTTTTTTCTCAGTGTGTACTGCTGTCCTTGCCTCTCTAGCTAAAATGAATGGAATTAGGGAAGGGACAATATCTGAGGGCTGAATCTCTGAAACTGACAGGGAGGGGAACTTGGACATCTTTCACCACTGGAGTAGTCTCCTATTTGGATACTGTTCTATCTAGACGGATGTAACTACACAGAGCTATATTGTATCACAAATGTTTTCCAAAGCTACATGTAAATTATATTTTGATTATCCACATCACTGGTCTCCTCTATTAACACAGATAATTGATAGCTGGCTATATAATTTATCTTCTGTTCTGGATTAGCCACACCAATGATCTTCTTCATTAGTGTTGGATAATCTAGAGTTCCTTCAGCTATGGCTGCCAATTACTGTAAATTGAAATTTGCCTAAGTCTAGAGTTCAGGGATAACTTCCAAATGCTCTTGATACTACCATCTACAGTAACAGCAGTAACTAGTAAGCAGGAAGCATCCAAATGTAACTATTTTTCTTTAATTGACCAAACATAAATGCTAGAAGTATATTCCTTTGCTCTAAAGAGATAAGCAAGCATATAAATTAAACACCTGTGTAATGTGTGTGGCAGCGGATGGCTAATATGAGTCTGTTTCCTAAAAGTTGCTGGCAACAGTTGGTGTGCAGAGGGCAACAGAAGACTTAGAGACGGTAATTTACGAAAAGAACCTTCTCTAGTTGGGTTTTCAACCTGAATTTTACAGAGGCGTAGTCAACTATACTGTGGGATCTTGCTACCTACCAGTGGGTTTGATCACATCAGAAATGTAACAGTATCTGAATGTCAGTGCTGTGTACCTTTTTTGTTTTGGAGATAAGGACTGAATGCCAGTGGGGGAAAAAGAGTAGTTACATCATCTGGTTGTCATGAACAGAGTAAAAATGACCCCTGAGTGTCTAAGCTTCAACCCAGCTTCACCTTCTACCTGTCACCCACCTTGGTCCCGGCTGCCTGAACATGGAAGGTAAACTCAACTGTTCACAGGCTCTGCCTAGCACTTTTTCTTCTCTCAGCCCTTCTGTCTCTTTGAATGTGTGGCACTGCCAAGGCCTGGACTGGAAAGGTGCCGCAGCCGGAGTTAAGAGGTAGCCTGCAATACTACCCGCTCTGCCACTTGCCTCTCTACCTCTCCTCTGACAAGTCCCGAGCCTCTGTAGGTTTTCTTCCTCCTGACATGGGATCTGGTTGATGTTTACCTGGTTGTTAGGAGCCTTTATGGATGGGAATCCCCTGAACAAGGATTTCTACTTCCTGTGCCACTGTTTCTCCGCTTTGACCTTACGGTTTCTTCAATGTATGGGTGTGAAGCCTACTCCTACTGGGTTTTAGCTCCAGGATGAGCTGCTATTGTTTTGTGTTTAATGTGGCAACTGGCTAGAGGACATCCATCCACCTTACAATAAGCAGTTCCTTCTGCTCTCATACTTGTAACACACAGTTTGGGCCTTTTAGTTTGGACTGGCACAATATTGGTCAGAATGGAATTTAGGCACTTGGGGAGTAAGTGTGTGAACCAATGTCTTTCTACTACTGAATGTCAGAAGTTGCATGACAAAGACTTAAGTGAATGTGGTATCAGGGAAAGCTGGAGAACTAAGCTTAAAACCCAAAAAACAGTTCAGTAACAGTCAACATAAGGCGAGAGGATACTGTCTATGCTGCTTCTAAATTTGCCTAACTTCATAAGCTAAATTTGATTTTAGTATATTTAAAAGAACTGTAGGCATATGCTTTGACAGCTATTCTTGGTAGAAGTGGGAGGAGTAAATTAGTTGAAAATACATCAAATCTTACTATTGAAGGTTAGCTTATAAACAAGTTCTAGTTTTACTCATTTTGAGTTCATTTTTCAGCAACCACTCGCTGACAACAAATGCCTTACGTCCAAATGTCACTCAAACTTACATGCCCATAGTGGCCTTTCCGTGCACAGTTGTAGCAATACACTAATGCTGATTGTCCAGAAGGGGTCTTTGGTTTTTTAGGTGGTCCAGGTTTAGTCTGCAACATAAATATTTGTGAGAGTTTAATACATGCTAGGGGAAAAGCAAAAGCCTCAACCTTTCTAAAAGAGCTCTTAGGTAAGAGAATCCTTAGAGATTTTGCTTTTTAGAGTTTAGTGTGGAGTGGTAGTGGGCTCTCGCTGAAGCCTAGGAGACAACAACATGGAAGGGAAAGACAGAGGCTCATGAAAAATGACAGAGAAGGGAGGGGGGTTCAAGGCTAAGGAGACACAAAAGGTCAGAAGCCCAGGCCTCAAAGAGTTTCATGGAAGGTCTGACCTACACTCCCAAGTACATCAGAAGCCTAGCAACACCAGCACAGAGACACTGCCATCACAAGTACAACCACTCACAGAGGTCTCACTGTGAAAAACAGGGAGGGCAGAGAGTAGTGTGATGAGTGAAGGGAAACACAGAAAAAAAAAAAAGTGTGTTATATAGCAATTTATTAAATTCTACATGTGTTTGATACATTTTCAGTATGTACATTATATTTCACAATAAGAGATGTTAAGAAATTGAATATAAATTGAAAAAAGGGAGGAAGTGTATATTATTATTTTGAGAAGCATGAGCAACAAAGGACAGGATTAAAGGGGGGAGTGTTTAGGAGGAAGGATTAGTTGGTGGTTTTAAATGGGAGCAACTTGATCATGTAGGCTAGTTGTGATGGAGAGCTGAAAATAGAAAGCAGAAGGAAGGACGGAGCAAACCCCTTATCCAAGGGGAGGGAAATGGGATCTATTTGCTCCCTTTCTGCAGGCTAGAAGGGGTACAGATGGGTGCTTTGGTAATTTACTTCTCTTGCTTATTAGACTTCTATAGCAAAGAGAGCTAGTCTGCCTGCTAGTATCTTTATCTCATGTTGTAATCAGGTGGTTTGAGGTTGCTGGGGGAGGAGAAGAGATGAGTTTCTGGTATAGGAAAAATAGTGTCTAGGTAATGAAACATCTTTAAAAAGTCTTGAGAATGGAAAGCTGGATTGCTAGCTTTCTTTTTGGTGCTGTGATCAAGCAACTGGCAGATAGCTTAAGGGAAGAAAGCTGTATTTGCTCATTGCCAAAGATTTTGGTCCACCATTGTAGGGAGCTTGAAGCAAGGCAGACAGGAAGCAGGACAGTAATGGAAGATGACAGGGGAAGACAGAACCTCCAAGGGCACACCCCTTTTAACCTTAACTGATTTTCTCCAAACATGCTCTACAGCCCTACCACCTCCCAATAGTCTATTCAAATTCTGACTCTGTTAATGGATTAAACCATTCTTTAGGTAGGTCAGAGCCAAAGATCTAGCCCCCAGACACCCAGAGGTGTGCCTTACTAAGTTGCTAATTGCTATTAATCCAATCAAGCCAACAAGTCATCATCAAATTTGAGGTAAACAAAACCTAACAGTCTTTTCTGCTGATCATGGTACACAAAACAGAATTTACAACCTCAGCTATTACCAGTTAGGATATAAGAAAACCACACCTATTTTAAAAACTATTAAATAGATTTTAACAGGGATTTACATATGCAGGAAAGTCTCACTCCAGTGGTTTAGACTTTTCTTTTAGGTAAGATAACACCAAGAAGTTAGTAAATTATTACACAGAAATATTTTTCCTTATCTAAAAAAATGGCTATTTTTTGATATAAAATAAAACTGTAGCTATGAGCATACAGGAAGAAAACAAAACCCAAAGAGATATGGTAATTTTTTTAAGGAAGAAGTTGCTAAAAGCTATTCATGGGTTGGGCATGGTATAGCACACACCTTCGATCCCAGTACTCAGGAGGTAGAGGCAGGAAGATCAGGAGTTCAAGGCCAGCTTCAGTTACACTGCAAGCTCCAGGCTATATAAGGCCTATCTCAAAAAACCAGAAAGAAGAAGAAAAAAGTTAATGATGTGGTATGACCTAAGATGAAGCCTATGAAATATATCAGACTTGGCAGTTAGGAAGTTGTAGGTAACTTGAAAATGTTGAAAGCAACTTCATTTGAGTGGATGGGGCAGAATCGAGATTGCAATAGGTTTATCTTAAGTACAAAAACAGTGAAAGAAACTTCTCTGTGAACCGAAGGGAGCAGGTAGAGTAAACGCAAGTCCAATGATGGCGCCATCAGTGATGTCTGTCAGAGTCCTGAGCACGTGGCATGAGTGTATTCATATATTTTCAGCAATTCATTAAAAATATCAACTGCAGAATCCATGTCAAATATCACCCAGAGGTCTGGTATTTGAGAAGTCGGCAACACAAAAAATCATTGATTCCACTTCCAGTGAGAGAAGACAGACAAACCAAACCACTTCCTCCCCCACTCTACTCCTTTATCCTCTCCCCACACGTGTGTGCTTGTTTAAACAAAATATTGGACAGTGATAAGTAGTATGGATTAAGACAGTGAACAATTCACTGCTGATGACTTAGATTTGTTGGTAGGGACACCTTAATTTAAAAAAAATATCAGGCATGTGAATGCGCTGATTGACTCTATTCTTTGCAAAATTGCAAGGCAAGGACAAGCCAGCCATCTTGAGGATTAAAAAAAAATACCTGCACCTTGAAGGAGAGCAGGTGAAAGAGAGAAGAGGAGGTTCTAGAAGGTGAGTTGATGTCAGATGACTCATGGCTCTAAAACCAAAGGTGGAAATGCTCTGTCTGTATTTTAAGTGGTGTGGAAAGCCAGAAAAGCACTGGACGATAATGGTAGGTAGGTACTCAGCAACCAGCTGGCAACTTAGCAGGGGGTGTAGCTGATGATAAATGAAACAACCAACCTCCAGAATAATAAATGCTCTCTTAAAGGTACATCTATGCTTACAAGTGGCTCTCTTGTTATGCAGATATATAATATAGTCTATCACTAAAGTAGATGGGCTTTATAGGGTGTACACATTTCTCACTCCACCTGTACAATCTTTGGATGATCAATAGAGTCTTATAATTGGTCTGGAAGCCCTGTTTCTGTAGCCCATTTTCAATACAAGATGATCTTTCTGGTTTGTAACTCAGAACACACACTTCTCCATCTAAACCCTGTAATAACTTCTCACTCAGTAAAAAGCAAGAATCTTCCAGTGGGTCATTTTTTTTCCCCTGTGACCTTGCTGCATGTCTTGGTGTATCTATCACATCACCTCACTGGCCTCTTCAGTGTTCTCTGAACACTCTACACAAACTTCCTTCCATTGAGAGTTTAGCACCATTGTTCCACACCAGGATAGCTGTTCTCCAGATACATGGTGGTCATTATCCTGGTAAGGCCTCCAAGTGATGCTCCTTATACCCCTTCCTTTTGAAAAACAGAACAAAAAATTACCCCCCCTCAAAATATGTCACATCTGATATGCTAAATAATTTGTTTATCCAACCCAACCCTTTCCATCAGGTAAGAGGAAAGTTGCTCACTGCTGGACCCCACCTCCTGGAACAGGGCCAGGCATATGGTGAGAGTTCAGTAAACATAACGAATGAATGATGAGTTAATGCACATGTACAGTTCATGACTCACAGAAAAATTTTATGAATAATAGGTATTGTTAATAAAAATCAGATGCTTTGGGAAACTATTAATTTTTATATCTTCAAGGGCAAACCTATAAAATCATGCCATGATATGATAAAAAGCTGGAACAATTAACAATACAAATTCCTTGGTATCTTTCCTACTTCATGTTGACAATATGGCACATACTTGGAAAACCAGGAGGGAATCGGTGATGTAGAGAGAAGAGGAACTCAGCCTTCCAGTACCAGAGAAAAAGAGATACTTCTTAATCAAGATTTGAAAGCATGTTTCATATTGACAACTGCTATTTTATTTAGAGAATAATATCAAATACACCCTCAATGTTCATTTATGCCTCTGGATGGAGCACAAACATTTGATGTTCATTCAACTGAATAATGTCACTAGTTAAAAACTTCCATTATTACTAATAAAAATAGCAGCAGTATTTATATTGTTAGGAAAGTCTACACTGGTTTACAATAATTAATTAGTAAATGATTTGACAAACGCTATATACATGCTCTCATTTTAATAACTGGCATGTACTAAGGCTTAATAAGAATGAAATCCGCCTAGATCTTACCTAATTAGAGCACCCTTCTATATTAGAATACACTAGTGAAAACTCAATAATGACTTCCACTGGACAAATCTGTGTACTAGATTAAATAAAAATCTTTACACTGTTTCAAGTGTTGGCAATATAAAAATTTGAGCCAATACTTGTGCCATAGAACATCTCCCCCCCCCCCCCCAAGGGTTTTACGGTTCAGCTGTGGCTGTCCTGAAACTATGTAGACCAAGATAGCTTCAGACTCACTGAGATCTGCCTGCCTCTGCCTTCTCAGTGCTGGGATTAACACACCACTCCTGGTGCATTTCTTTATTTTAAATTAACAGTAAAGGTCCAATTTAAAGTGGAGTATGTCAGCTGATTAGTTCTAGATTCAGGGTTCTGTCATTTGGGCCTGTACTGCTAACAAAGAGTTATGCGAGGGAGTGAACAGTTTTCTTAAGACTTATTCAAAGTAAAAAAAAAAAAAAAAAAAGTATCCAAAGACTTTGACACAATGGATACCAAATGAACTATTTATTAAAGCAGGCTTCTTTTTTTTTTGTTACAGACATTTAAATAATCTATATTTGTAGGAAGATATCTTGGAGATTACTTTACTATCAATATATAGAAGTAATAACCTGGTAGATAGCATTACCTATGAAAGGTCCATCCCATCTGCTATTCTTGCTGAAAGCTTTTCATGCACCAGTAAACTCAGTAAATATCAGAAGATAAAGCATAAGCCTACCAAGCCATGGATTTACTCCTAATGTCTCCTCAAAGTGCAGCCTGATGCAACGATTACAAATGATTTTCTTCTAATGTCACTTTACATAACCCTTTTTTCTGCATGAATAGTTAGTGCGGAATGAATGAATGAACGCCATTAAAACAGTTAATCATTATCTGGGACACTGGCCTTACTCCCTTCACTACTTAGA